ATGCACTCTTCCTTCCTTCCTTCCTTCCTTCCTTCCTTCCTTCCTTCATTCCCTCCCTCCCTCCCTCCTTCCTTCCTTCCTTCCTTCCTTCCTTCCTTCCTTCCTTCCTTTTTTCAGAATCTCGCTCTGTCACCCAGGCTGGAGTGCAGTGGCACAGTCTCAGCTCACTGCAGCCTCTGCCTCCCAGGTTCAAGTAATCCTCCCACTTCAGCCTCCCGAGTAGCCGAAATTACAGGTTCCCACCACCACATCCAGCTAATTTTTTTTTTAATTTTTAGAAAATACAGTCTAAGGCACGAGAATTGCTGGAACCCAGGAGGCAGAAGTTGCAGTGAGCTAAGATGGCACCACTGCACTCCAGCCTGGGTGACAGAGCAAGACTCCATTGCAAAAAACAAAAACAAAACAACGATGAATGCTAGGATAAAAAATAAAGCAAGAGGCCAGGCGCAGTGGCTCACGCCTGTAATCCCAGCACTTTGGGAGGCCGAGGTGGGTAGATCACCTGAGGTTGAGCTGGAGACCAGCCTCGCCAATACAATGACACCCTGTCTCTACTAAAAATAGGAAAATTAGCCAGGTGTGGTGGCATGTGCCCGTAATCCCAGCTACTCAGGAGGCTGAGGCAGGAGGATTGCTTGGGGCTGGGAGTTAGAGGCTGTAGTATGCTGTGATCGCACCTGTGAATAGCCACTGCACTCTAGCCTGGGCAACATAGTGAGCCTCTGCCCTTTAAAACAAAAAAGTATAGCGCATCTGATAAGTATGTAGTAAAGTCATGCTGAAAAGCGTCCTGGCAGAACCACAGTTCATTTGTTGACAGATGTCTGGACTGGCAGTCCTCACTCTCTTTTTTTTTTTTTTGAGACAAGAGTCTGCTCTGTCCTGCAGGCTGGAGTGCAGTGGCACGATCTCAGCTCACTGCAAGCTCTGCCTACCGGGTTCACGCCATTCTCCTGCCTCAGCCTCCCAAGTAGCTGGGACTACAGGCGCCGCCACCTCGCCCAGCTAATTTTTTGTATTTTTAGTAGAGACGGGGTTTCACCGTGTTAGTCAGGATGGTCTCGATCTCCTGACCTCGTGATCCACCCACCTCGGCCTCCCAAAGTGCTGGGATTACAGGTGTGAGCCGCCATGCGCCCCACCCCCACCCTGGCAGTCCCTTTTTTTTTTTTTTTTTTTGTGAGACGGAGTCTCGCTCTGTTGCCCAGGTTGGAGTGCAGTGGCCAAATCTCAGCTCACTGCAAGCTCCGCCTCCGGGGTTCAGCCATTCTCCTGCCTCAGTCTCCCGAGTAGCTGGGACTACAGGCGCCCGCCACCTCGCCCGGCTAGTTTTTGTATTTTTAGTAGAGACGGGTTTCACCGTGTTAGCCAGGATGGTCTGGTGTCAAACCTTGTGATCCACCCGTCTCGGCCTCCCAAAGTGCTGGGATTACAGGCTTGAGCCACCGCGCCCGGCCTGGCAGTCCTCTTTCAATGGGAGGTGCTCAGAGCCGAAGGAGCTTTCAGCGAGGAGAGCTTCTGCGAGCTGAAATAGAAATTGCACCGCCTGGCTGGGCGCAGTGGCTGCGACTGTAATCCCAGCACTTTGGGAGGCCAAGGTGGGCAGATCACCAGGTCAGGAGTTCAAGACCAGCCTGGCCAACATGGGAGAAACCCTGTCTCTATTTAAAAACAAAAACAAAAGTTAGCTGGGCATGAGTGGCGTGCGCCTGTAGTCTCCCAGCTACTTGGGAGGCTGAGGCAGGAGATCGCAGACAGGGGAGGGGAGGTTGCAGTGAGCTGAGATCGCGTCACTGCACTCCAGCTTGGGCAACAGAGTGAGATTTCATCCTCAAAAAAAAAAAAAAAAAAGAAAGAAAAAAATTACTTTTCCACTGAGCTTGTGCTAACCTTTAGCTTGTCCATTTCTGAGACAGCCACCAGGAACACGGGCCACCAGGAAGAGCCTGCTGCATGTCCCCTGGAGGCAGCGAAGGGGAGAAGAGTGGACATTTACTTCCCTGGCCCGAGGCAGCTGAAGAGGGTTGTCCAGCGAAGGGGCTGGGGGTCCTGGGACTTGGGGGTCCAGTGGCCGAGCTCAGCAGGGCGGGCCCCACTCATGCACCTTGTGCTTGGTTTTTTGTTTTGCAGCTTTGCCTTTCTTCCTGTTCTTTCATGGAGGATACTGGCAGAGTGGAAGGTGAGTCAGGGGATGGATGGTGGACTGCAGGAGAGATTCCGCTTTCCTGGGGACTCTTCTTCCAGGGCTGCCCCAACCAAAGGCCACAGCTGGGGCGATTCCCGCAGGCCGTGTCTCCACAGCACTGGAGAGCGGAAGTCTCAGGTGCAAATGTGGGCCTGGTTCCTAGGGAGGATCCTTCCTGCTGCCTCCAGCTTCCTGTGGCCTCAGGCAGTCCTTGGCTGTGTTGGCAGAGCTCCAGCCTCTGCCTCCATTCACATGTGATCCTTGTGTTCCTGGGTCTCTGATCTTCCTCTCCTTTTTTTTTTTTCTTTTTTTTTTTGAGACAGAGTCTCACTCTACTGAACTGGAACGCAGTGGTGCGACCTCCAGCTCGCTGCAGTTTCTGCCTCCCAGGCTCAAACAATTCTGCTTCAGCTTCCCAGAAGCGCTGGGATTATAGGTGCGCACCACCAGGCCCAGCTAATTTTGTATTTTTAGTAGAGACAGGGTTTCACCATGTTGGCCAGGCTAGTCTTGAACTCCTGACCTCAAGTGATCCTCCCACTTTGACCTCTCAAAGTTCTGGGATTACAGGTGTGAGCCACCACACCAGCCTCCTTTTTTTTGAGGCGGAGTCTCGGCTCCTGTCCCGCGAGCTGGAGTGCAGTGGCACGATCTCAGGCTCACTGCAGCTCTGCCTCCCAGGTTCACGCCATTCTCTCCTGCCTCAGCCTCCGGAGTAGCTGGGACTGCGGCGCCGCCACCGTGCCCAGCTAATTTTTTGTTTTTAGTAGAGACGGGTTTTCCACGTATTAGCCAGAATGGTTTCGATCGACCTTGTGATTCGCCACGCCTCGGCCTCCCAGAGTGCTGGGATTACAGGTGTGAGTCACGCACCCGGCCTCCTTTTTTTTTATAAGGTCATAGTCACAGGTTCTGGGGTTAGGATTTGGACATATCTTTTGGTGGGACACAGTTCAACCCACTGCAACCAGTGAGAGCGTGTTCAGCCTCCTCTTGAATCAAAGGGAAACCAGGTGACCAACCACTGTCCCAGTTTGCTTGGGACTGAGGGAGGAGTTTAGAGTAGGACATGGGGTTTTCAGTACTTTAGGAAAAAAATAATGAAAGTCCAAGGTAAAATGGGACAGTTGGTCACTGTAAGCTTTTGTGGGTATTTGGGGTGGGATCTTGGCAGACACTACGTTCCCTAGGTCTTCTACAGAGTTGCCTTCTTGCATCTTCATGTTAATAGCTTACATTTAATGGCCAGGCACGGTGGCTCACGCCTGTAATCCCAACTGCCTGGAAGCGGCGGGGCCAAGTCACTTGAGGCATCAGAGTTTGAGACCAGCCTGGCCAACATGGTGAAACCCTGTGTCTACTAAAAAGAAATGCAGGAGAATTAGCTGGGCCGATGACAGCTGTGCCTATTGTCCCAGCTATTTCAGTGCGCAGGAGAATCGCTTGAACCCAGGAGGTGTTGCAGTGAGCCAGATCATGCCACTGCACTCAGCCTGAGTGACTAGCTTTTTTTTTTTTTTTTTGTGAGACGGAGTCTCGCTCTGTTGCCCAGGTTGGAGTGCAGTGGCCAAATCTCAGCTCACTGCAAGCTCCGCCTCCAGGGTTCAGCCATTCTCCTGCCTCAGTCTCCCGAGTAGCTGGGACTACAGGCGCCCGCCACCTCGCCCGGCTAGTTTTTTGTATTTTTTAGTAGAGACGGGTTTCACCGTGTTAGCCAGGATGGTCTCGATCTCCTGACCTTGTGATCCACCCGTCTCGGCCTCCCAAAGTGCTGGGATTACAGGCTTGAGCCACCGCGCCCGGCCTGGCAGTCCTCTTTCAATGGGAGGTGCTCAGAGCCGAAGGGAGCTTTCAGCCGGAAGGCTTCTACCCGAGCTGAAATAGAAATTGCCGCCACCTGGCTGGGCGCAGTGGCTCACGACTGTAATCCCAGCACTTTGGGAGGCCAAGGTGGGCAGATCACCAGGTCAGGAGTTCAAGACCAGCCTGGCCAATATGGTGAAACCCTGTCTCTATTTAAAACAAAAACAAAAACAAAAAAGTTAGCTGGGCATAGTGGCGTGCGCCTGTAGTCCCAGCTACTTGGGAGGCTGAGGCAGGAGAATCGCTTGAACTGGGGAGGGGGAGGTTGCAGTGAGCTGAGATCGCGTCACTGCACTCCAGCTTGGGCAACAGAGTGAGATTTCATCTCAAAAAAAAAAAAAAAAGAGGAAAAGAAATTGCTACCACCTGAGCTTGTGCTAACAGCAACTTGTCCATTTCTGAGACAGCCACCAGGAGGGCACGGGCCACCAGGAAGAGCCTGCTGCATGTCCCCTATGGAGACGGCGAAGGGGAGAAAGTGGACATTTACTTCCCTGACGAGGCAGCTGAAGGTTGTCAGCGAAGGGGCTGGGGGTCCTGGGACTTGGGGGTCCAGTGGCCGAGCTCAGCAGGGCGGGCCCCACTCATGCACCTTGTGCTTGGTTTTTTGTTTTGCAGCTTTGCCTTTCTTCCTGTTCTTTCATGGAGGATACTGGCAGAGTGGAAGGTGAGTCGGGGGATGTGGATGGTGGACTGCAGGAGAGATTCCACTTTCCCTGGGGGACTCTTCTTCCAGGGCTGCCCCAACCAAAAGGCCACAGCTGGGCGATTCCCGCAGGCCCGTGTCTCACAGCACTGGAGAGCGGAAGTCTCAAGTCAAATGTGGGCCTGGTTCCTAGGGAGGATCCTTCCTGCTGCCTCCAGCTTCCTGTGGCCTCAGGCAGTCCTTGGCTGTGTTGGCAGAGCTCCAGCCTCTGCCTCCATTCACATGTGATCCTTGTGTTCCTGGGTCTCTGATCTTCCTCTCCTTTTTTTTTTTTCTTTTTTTTTTGAGACAGAGTCTCACTCTACCCCAGACTGGAACGCAGTGGTGCGACCTCAGCTCGCTGCAATTTCTGCCTCCCAGGCTCAAGCAATTCTGCTTCAGCTTCCCAAGTAGCTGGGATTATAGGTGCGCACCACCAGGCCCAGCTAATTTTTGTATTTTTAGTAGAGACAGGGTTTCACCATGTTGGCCAGGCTGGTCTTGAACTCCTGACCTCAAGTGATCCTCCCACTTTGACCTCTCAAAGTTCTGGGATTACAGGTGTGAGCCACCACACCAGCCTCCTTTTTTTTTTTTTGAGACGGAGTCTCGCTCTGTCCCGCAGGCTGGAGTGCAGTGGCACGATCTCGGCTCACTGCAAGCTCTGCCTCCCAGGTTCACGCCATTCTCCTGCCTCAGCCTCCAGAGTAGCTGGGACTGCAGGCGCCCGCCACCGCGCCCAGCTAATTTTTTTGTTTTTAGTAGAGACGGGTTTTCACCGTATTAGCCAGAATGGTTTCGATCTGACCTTGTGATTCGCCCGCCTCGGCCTCCCAGAGTGCTGGGATTACAGGTGTGAGTCACCGCACCCGGCCTCCTTTTTTTTTTTTTTTTATAAGGTCATAGTCACAGGTTCTGGGGTTAGGATTTGGACATATCTTTTGGTGGGACACAGTTCAACCCACTGCAACCAGTGAGAAGCGTGTTCAGCCTCCTCTTGAATCAAAGGAAAAGCCAGAGTGACCAACCACTGTCCCAGTTTGCTTGGGACTGAGGAGGGGTTTCGTAGGACATGGGGTTTTCAGTACTTTAGGAAAAAAATAATGAAAGTCCAAGGTAAAATGGGACAGTTGGTCACTGTAAGCTTTTTGTGGGTATTTGGGAATTTGGGATCTTGACAGACACTGCGTTCCCTAGGGTCTTCCTACAGAGTTGCCTTCACGCATCTTCATGTTAATAGCTTACATTTAATGGCCAGGCACGGTGGCTCACGCCTGTAATCCCAACACTTTGGAAGGGCAAGGCGGACGGATCACTTGAGGTCAAGAGTTTGAGACCAGCCTGGCCAACATGGTGAAACCCTGTGTCTACTAAAAATACAAAAATTAGCTGGACGTGGTGGCGTGTGCCTGTAATCCCAGCTACTCGGGAGGCTAACGCAGGAGAATCGCTTGAACCCAGGAGGGGGTGTTGCAGTGAGCCAAGATCATGCCACTGCACTCCAGCCTGGGTGACACAACGAGATTCTGTCTCAAAAAAAAAAAAAGCTTACATTTATTCCACACAAAACTCTCTACACTGCTGGTCTTTAATTCTCAAAAACAGTTCCCTAACAGAGGGAATATAATTGCCTCTATTTTACAGATGAGGAAACCAGGCTTAGAAGTTACATAAATTGCCAGGCACGGTGGCTCACACCTATAATCCCACACATTGGGAGGCCGAGGCGGGAGGATTGAGTTAGAAACCAGCCTGGTCAACATAGCAAGACCCCCATTTCTACAAAAGAAAAAATAAATTTGCTGTGCATAGTGGTGCACACCTGTACTCCTGCTTGGGAGACTGAGGCAGGAGGATTGCTTGAGCCCAAGAGGTCGAGGCTGCAGTGAACCGTGATGACGCCATTGCACTCCAGCCTGGGCGACAGAGCGAGGCCCTATCGCTTAGAAAAATAAAGTTACATGAAGCTCCCCCAAGGTCCCGTAGCTAGTATGTGATGTGGCAGGGAGAGATCCTGTCCGCTTCCCTCTCTCAAACGGGGCCAGAAAGGGGTGGTGCTGTGCATGGACAGAACATCTGGAAAGTGGTGTGTCCAGGACACAGGAAGCAGCGTAGTGGCCAGGCTGCCTCCAGCTGTCACATCTGTGTCTCTCTCTGCAGTAAGGACGAGTCTGCCTTCATGGTCGACCCGCTGACGGCACAGGGAGTGGCTGTGGTAATAGTGGCTTATGACATCGCCCCCAAAGGTAATAGAGGTGGTTGCTGCAGGTCCGAGGGCCGGTGGGCTTTAGGAGGAAGCGAGTCCCTGACCCAGCTCATACTCTCTGTGCAGGCACCCTGGACCAGATGGTAGACCAGGTGACCCGCAGTGTTGCGTTTGTCCAGACGCGGTATCCAAGCAATGAGTGGGTGTTGCTGGTAGATTTTCTTCCTGTTGGACCTCACTGGGTGGGAGGACAGTGCAATCGGTCCCTCGGACACAGCCAAGCTTCCCCTCTGGCCTGTGGAGCAGAAGCAAATTGGGACTCTTTGAAGTGGGCCTGATGTTGTGGGGAAACTGTGTGCAAATCCAGTTCTCTGCTCTGACCCCTCCCAGGGGAATTTACCTATGTGGACACTCAGCCGGGGCCCACCTGGCCGCCATGATGCTCCTTGCCAACTGGACCAAGCATGGGGTCATGCCCAACCTCAAAGGTTTCCATGGGGGCTGCAGCCTGGCTGGGCAACCTTCATCTCCCCATGAGCCTTGCGGTTTGGGCCAACTGATTGAAATCCTCCCAGCCGTGAGTGGCTTGACCGCAGGGCTTCCAGCCCTCTGAGCAAGGCCTTCTCTGCTTCCTCCGTGCCCCCTCCCCTGGTCCTGCCCCTCTGGCCGTGGGGGTGGGCTGGCCCTGCCTTGCTCCGCCTGGAGCCTGGTCCTGTGCCGATTCTGCACCCTCACAGGCTTTTTCCTCGTGAGTGGGGTCTTTGACCTGGAGCCCGTCATATATACTTCACAGAACGTCGCTCTGCAGCTGACCCTGTGAGTTACCTGCCCACCACCTCCCCTGGCTCACCTGGAGCCCGGCTTCTCTCTGTCCTGACCCATCCACTCCCCGCCCCAGGGAGGACGCTCAGAGGAACAGCCCGCAGCTGAAGGTGGCCCAGGCGCAGCCGGTGGACCCCACCTGCCGTGTGCTGGTGGTCGTGGGCCAGTTCGACTCCCCCGAATTTCACCGACAGTCCTGGGAGTTTTACCAGGTACTCTCAGCACAGGTTTGTGGCCAGAGGTCGAGGGTCATGTGAGCTCATTATTTGCCTCATCCGTCATTTATTTAACACAGTGAACCCTGACCTGTGCCAGGCATGGCCCCATGTCCTGTCCCACCTCCCCTCCCACCGCTCAGGCCCCTCCTCCCATGTCTCCCCTGCCCAGGCCCTGTGTCAAGGAAAGTGGAAAGCCTCGTTTGAACAGCTCCACGATGTGGACCACTTTGAAATCGTTGAGAATCTGACCCAGAAGGACAACGTGCTCACCCAGGTGGGGCCTCATCCCTGGCAGCCCTTTCGTGGTAGACAGCACAGATCCTGCCGCAGCCTCTTAGATGTGCAAACCAGGAGTTCGAGACCAGCCTGGCCAACATAGAGAAACTCCGTCTCTGCTAAAAATACAAAAAAAATTAGCCAGATGTGATGGTGCGTGCCTGTAATCCCAGCCACTCAGGAGGCTGAGGCATGAGAATTGCTTGAACCCAGGAGGCAGAGATTGCAGTGAGCCAAGATTGCACTCCAGCCTGGGCAATGGAGCAAGACTATCTAAAAAAAAAAAACAAACCTGAGAACCTAGGAAAGAAAGAACCTAAGAACATCTCATTTCTTTCTTTTTTTTTCTTTAGAAACAGGGTCTCCTCTGTTGTACCCAAGCTGGAGTACAGTGGCAGAATCTTAGTTCTCTGCCGCCTCCTGGGCTCAAGTGGTGATCCTGCCTCAGCCTCCTGAGTAGCTGGGACTACAGAGGTGTGCCACTGTGCCCTGCTAATTATTAAATGTTTCTATAGAGATGGGGTCTCTCTCTGCTCCCCAGACTGGTCGTCTTCTTTTTTAATCTCAGCATATTATACCTCTAACCAGGCTGTCTTGAACTCCTGACTTCAAGTATCTTCCTGCCTCAGCCTTCCAAAGTGTTGGGGTGCAGACATGACTCACTGCATCCAGCCCTGTCTCGTTTCCTTAATCAAATTCCTGCCAAGAGCTTCTCCGATTCTGGGGCTTTTGTGCCTTCTCTTCCTGTTCCAGATTATCTTGAAAACGATCTTCCAGTAGTTCTGACGACACCTGGAGCCTGGTCCAAGTGCACCCCACCTTGGGAAGCCTCTCCAAAGAGCTTTCGGAGCTGAAGCTGCCAGGTTCAATTTTCCCCAGCACCCAGGAGAGCCTTGCTGTGTCTGCCTGCCCGGCAAGAGTCCATTCTCACTGCTGGGATACTCGTGAAAATCTCCAGGTCCTCCCTCTTCCCAGCCCGGATGGAGCTTCAGGGAGGCTCCAGGGAACGTCCATGAGTCAATGCTCAGAGATGCCGGGAGCCACCTGTAAGCCTCATCTGGCCCCTCTATCTGCTGACAGAATGTGACAAAGATGACTTACCTCTAGCATTTTTGTATGACCCACCAGCTAAGAATGTCATTACTTTTTTTTTTATCTGGAGATGGAGTCTCACTCTGTCACCCAGGCTGGAGTGCAGTGGTGTGATCTCGGCTCACTGCAACCTCCACCTCCCAGGTTCAAGCAATTCTCCTGCCTCAGCCTCCCGAACAGCTGGGACTACAGGCGCCTGCCACCGCGCCCAGCCAGAATGGCATTATATTTTTAGATGGTTCATAAAGAAGCACAAAAAACTATTTCATAACATGTAGAAATTATATAAAACTTAAATTTCCATGTTGATAAATAAAGTTGTATTGGGACACAGCCCTGTTCGTTCATTTACATATTGACTAGGGCAGCTTTCCAGCTACAGGGCAGAGTGCAGTGGTGGTGACAGTGACCTCCTGGCCCGTACTGCCTGAGGCATTTCCTATCTGGCCCTTTTCAGGAAAAGTTTGCGGACCCCTGGGTAAGGGCTTCCCCAAGCCAGCTACCCTCCGCCTTCTGCTTCAGTCTCCTGTCTGCTCTGTCCTCCATCTCCCTGACATTTGGGTCTGTCCCTGAATGCCCCGGGGTCTCAGCGTTGGGACCAACACCTTGACCTTGACAGGACAATGCTACCCACATGTAGGACAAGCTTCTGCTGCACCCCAAGAGTGGTGTGCATGTCCCAAGAAGCCAGCTATATCCATCCACCACCCACCCCACCACACCGCCTCTTTCTCTCACACTGAATAGCATTCACGAATTTCCACTGTGGGCCGGGCACGGTGCTCACGCCTGTAATCCCAGCAATTTCGGAGGCCAAGGTGGGCGAATCACCTGAGGTCAGAAGTTCAAGACCAGCCTGGCCAACATGGCAAAACCCTGTCTCTACTAAAAATACAAAAATTAGCCAGGCATGGTGGCGCATGCCTATAATCCTAGCTACTTGGGAGGCTGAGGCAGGAGAATCGCTTGAATCCAGGAGGCGGAGGTTGCAGTGAGCTGAGATTGTGCTCCTATACTCCAGCCTGGGTGACAGAGCCAGACTCCATCTCAAAGAAAAAAAACAACAATTTCTACTGTGTGTGTGCAGCCAGTCATCATAACACACATTTACCTGTGTAACAAACCTGCACATCCTACACATATACCCTGGAACTTAAAGTAAAAGTTGGGGGAAAAAGGAGAATTTCCACTGTGACATTATTGAGTATAGCAAAAACAAAAGAAACAGCCTAGTGTTCATTAGGGCATAAACGCATTCAAGCAGCATCAAACCCTGCAGCCATTACAAAGAGATCTATGTTGACCACGTGGAATATCTCCAAGAGCCACAATAGCCTCTCTTATCCGCGGGATTCACTCCAAGACCTTCTGAAACCATGGATAATACTGAACCCTGTGTACACTATGTTCTTTCCTGTATATATATACCTATGATAAAGTTTAATTTATAAATTGGCAAATGGTATGAAGTATTCCTTCTAAGAGATTAACAATAACTAATAGAATGATCATAACAATATACTGTGATCAAAGTTATGTGAAGCCCGGCGCTGTGGCTCAAGCTTTTAATACCAGCACTTTGGGAGGCTGAGGTGGGTGGATCACCTGAGGTCAGGAGTTCGAGACCAGCCTGGCCAACATGACAAAACCCCGTCTCTACTAAAGATACAAAAATTAGGCCGGGCGCAGCGGCTCACGCCTGTAATCCCAGCACTTTGGGAGGCCAAGGCAGGTGGATCACAAGGTCAGGAGATCGAGACCATCCTAGTTAACACAGTGAAACCCCATCTCTACTAAAAATACAAAAAATAAGCCGGGCATGATGGCGGGCACCTGTAGTCCCAGCTACTCGGGAGGCTGAGGCAGGAGAATGGCATGAACCCGGGAGGCAGAGCTTGCAGTGAGCCGAGATCATGCCACTGCACTCCAGCCTGGGCTACAGAGCGAGACTCCATCGCAAAAAAAAAAAAAAAAAAAAAAAAAAAAAAAGA